CCCCTTTTTTGTTTTCTTTCCTTCCAATAATCAAAGAAAAAGAAAAAGGGGGAAAAGTAAAAAGACGCGGTAGTTCTCCATGGAAAGGCAAAAACCACGATTTTAAGCACAACTGGACTGATTTTAAGCACAACTGGACTGATTTTAAGCACAACTGGACTGATTTCAACAAAATTCGATTGTGACATTCGACGAAATCAAACGCGTTTGTTTTTCCAAGGTTGCGATCCGAATCGCACGTTGTACTGTGCAGCCTGAAAGGTAGCCTGCCCATCCACGGAGAAAAAAAACCCAATCTGGCTGACTCCGACTCGATTCTAGTTCTAGTTCTAAGGCAACTGCATTAGGTCAAATGAGCGCCAGAAGATTTAGAGGTGTGTTACAAGAGAGTAACAAACATAAAAATGAAGAGGGGGAGATAAGGACGATAGATGTTCAATAAGAAAGAAGAAGCAAACCACACGGTGACACCAGAGCACCCGCCAACCACCCACCGACTCGATTGGATTGATTGAATTCGACTGCCACTGTCAGTGTGCACTGGCCATTATGGGAAACCCCAAAAGACGACCGGGCTCCCTCACACACCTGCTGTGACATGTGAGGACAGCGGAAAGTCAACACAAGGAGGAGAGGAGAAGAAGAAGGATGAGGAGCAGGAGATGGGGACATAATAAAAAAGAAAACCGTTACATCGTGATATTGACTTACCTTCTCCCACCATCCCCCCTCCAAAAAAAAAAAATTAATTAAAAATCTAAAACAAAAAATCAAACAAAATCCCCAATCCCTCTATTTCAACGAGATTTTGGGTGACGATTTCAGCGCACTCTTTTTATACATACGTCCTATTTCGTTTTCTTCTAAATGTTCAATACACCTGACCCGGTATTGAAGAACAGAAAGTAAAGCTCTGTATTATTTCTGTACTATGTCTAAAGGCCTCCATATTATTATTAAGTCAGTCATTTTCTAGTTAGTCCCAAATCGTTCACATCACTGTGCATCTTTTAAACTACACTTATTATGTGGGTGGTTGGCGGGGGCTTTGGTGTGGTTTGCTCCTTCTTTCTTTTCTAACATCTATCGTCCTCATCTCTCCCCCTTAATTTTTTGTGTGTGTTGCTCTCTTGAAACACATCTATTTTTCGGTACTTATATGACCTTATTGTGTTGCAAGTGCTGTAAAATGTTTAGTAAAACTAAAAACTACACATATTTTTTGGCAAAGAACAACCAACCACCTTTCAGAAAATTTACATCTGAAAATCAAGGAGCTACTTCTCTGCAACTAGCAGTATTTGTTCAGAATATTGATGAGGAGAGGTGACTTAGTGTACACGATGGACGCACAATATTGACTTGAGCATCACAGCTTAGTTTTTTATTTTGTTTTTTTTAGTCGAGTTTCTTTTTTTTTTTTTTTTTTTTTTGGT